CAATATCAAGACTACTCGACCTTGTGACAAGTTGGACTATCGTAGGCTTGGCCCCTTTTCTGTTTCTAAATAGATCAACCCAGTTGCATATCGGTTACATCTACCGGAGTCAATGAAGATCCATCCTGTATTCCACGTGTCTCTTCTTGAACCATATAAGACAGTGGATATACAAGGAAGAAGACAAATGCCACCGCCTCCTATAGAAGTAGATAATAATGAAGAATTTGAGGTGGAAGAGATATTAGACTCAAGGCGGCGCCGAAATAAGCTGGAATATCTTGTTCATTGGCGCGGATATGATATTAGTGAACGCACATGGGAGCCATCCAGGAATCTAGCAAATGCATCAGCTAAAGTCAAAGTTTTTCATCAACGACATCCATCAAAACCAAGATGAAAATCTCTCTTATAAAAGAGACAAGATTGATGCAAGATAACATTCAATTTCCTATCCTTGTTTGTAACTTCTTTGCATTTGTGATGCTAATTAGATGGAGAGCCAACAACCAGCGGATTCAACTCAAGAACCTTCGTTTGCTGACCTGCCGGACGAGACATTACGATTGTCACAACCTTCAAGACGACGCAATCGAGATGAAGATCTTCAAGAACGACATGTTCTTCCTCGAACAGATGGTGAGATACAACGCGTTTGGTATCACGATTTGGGAAGGGACTCTCGATGTTTGGTGATTTTGCTAGAAGTAGGAACAACTCCTGATGCTATTTCGAATATTCTATTCGAAGGAAGTTACGAAAGCCTCAACAATGATCAAATAACTGGGTGGTCTTCCCGCCCTGGTATGGGACACTACCGATGGTTGAGAGGCCCTATCAATCATCTTCGAAGAGAATAGAGATCAGAGTATGTGGCAAATACAATTCGTCGCATCATAGATTTCCTCAACATATGATGACCGCTTTTCATGGAACTCGTCTCTAGAAGGGGGGATAATGTCATGGCCATAATCATGTAAGCTAATAATTACATATAGAAATAGGTAGAAGTAAGTAAAAGTAGATAAAAGTAAGTTAATTCTATAATATTTAATATAGAAGCTTCCTAGAAACTTCCTAGATGCTACTTTGACTTCATAGGTGTCTTTAATTGACTTTTTGGATTAGAAACGTGGTCAACAAGTTGGCCATGTGCCACACATGTTGTTAGCTTGAAGATCAAGCTAACTATGTGGCCCACACGTAGAAAAACTTGCCTTGTAAGTCAAGGCATGTGTCCTACAAAGTCAACACATATTGGAGGTCCTATAGAACGTCGCCACGTAGCCCCTAGTTAGATAGTATATATACAGATAAGAGTGAAGGCTTCTTCACTCTTGTCAACTCCTTTCTTGCTTCTAGTCCAGGTTCAAGAGTCTTTAGTTTCTTGTCTTGTGGCAATAGCCATTCCAGTTTCCTTTTAATATACCTACTTGTTTATATTTTGACTTATTATATCGAGATAGCCTTTTGGTGTATATTTTCCCTCATCGAGTCTTTGTCCTTGACAGTAGTATGGAATACACACCTTTCTAACTTTGCATATAATCCTACATCTTTAAGTTTTTGTAATACAGGACAAACATAAACTTCAAACTCTTCTGTATTCTTAGAATAGATTAAGATATCATCCAAATATTAGAGCTAAAATCATCAAAAAATTCATGAAAGACATCATTTATTAAATGTTGAAAAGTAAATAGTACATTTGTGAGTCCAAAAGGCATGATATTATATTTAAAATATCCATATCTGGTTTGAAACATGGTTTTCCATTCATCTCTTTCTTTAATGCATACCAGATTATATGCTTTTTGTAGATCTATTTTTGTATAGATCTTTGCTTGATTTAGTTGATCAAGAAGTCTTAAAATTAAAGGTAGAAGATACATATTCTTAATAGTGATCTTATTGAGTCCTAAATAGTCTACATTTATCTCTAGAGTTACATCTTTTTTCTTTACAAATAAGATAGGAGCCTTGGTTGGAGATTTAGAATGATGTGTGAAATTTTTAGCCAAGTTTTTATCATTGTGCTCCTTGAATACAGCCAACTCATTTTGTGATAGCCTATAGATTGGTCCAAATGGTGGTTGAGCTCCTTCATAAAAATCAACGGAACAATCATATGGTCAATGTTCTAGAAAAATATCTGTATTTTTTTTTTTCAAAAATGTCCTAAAAATCTTGATACTAGCTAAAAATACTACTTGATGTCTTCTGGCCATCAGAAATAGATGTGGCATATAAAGCAAAAGATAATCCTTCTTTTGCAGCATACATAAAAGCTCTTGCACCTATCAATAAGGGTTTGGATGTATTAGACTTATATATTTTTATTTGAATAATGTAATTTTAGGTTAAACTATCAGAAAAATTAAGATTATAAGAAATCTAATTTATTTGAGGATTATACTTCTTTAACCAAGATAATGCTAAAATAATCAAATTAGACGAAGATCTTATTATGTTAAATATAACTATGCTATTATGATCTTTAATTGCTATATCTAAAGGAACAACGTCATTCATAATATCTATAGAAGATAGTGAACCATGATCTATGACTTCTACATATAAAGGTTTAGTTTCCTTGATTAATGATATTTCCTATTTTTTAACAAAATCTTCATCTATAAAATAAGTTTAGGCTCTTGAATCTAACAAAGCTAAGATTTTATGATTTTTGGTCCTAAATAAACTTCTATTGTAAAATAAGATGAGGAATTTGAGGAGAGAATATGACCTTTACTAGGAGTTATACAAGATTCTAATTGCACGATCCCTATTATAGTTGGAGAAACTCATTTTTTGACAAATTATCTTTTTTCGCAACCATGCTTCTCATTTTGTAGTTGCATAACTTCTTAGGACAATGTTGAACAATGTGTTTAGCTTCTCCACAATATAAGCATAAGCCTTCTTGACATTGTCGAGTCTTTTTTTGCTTTGTGAGGAGTTTAAAATGTATTATATTAATTTGCATTGGTTCTAGCATCAATGAATAAGTTTTTGAAAACTTGGGAGATGCCATCATTATTTTATTTGTTTCTCTGTAGCCAAATCTTTGTTCTTGATGTCTTTCAAATAATTGATTATTGTATGCAATGGCTTAAGTAATAAATTGTTCTAAAGATTCTACTTTTGGTATTATTAGTAACAAATCTTTAACATTATCCTTCAATCCATATCAAAATTAATTGATAATAGCTTTATCATTCTAGTCCATGTTGCAAGAGAGGTTTTGGAATTCAACAGCATATATGGTGGTTGACCATGATTCTTGCCAAAAAGATAAGAGCTTAATCTCTACTGCTCTTTCTTGATCACTTTTTTCAAATGTAGTCATAAATACTTCTAAAAATAAATTCAAAACATAAAAGAGTTACAAATCCTTTTCTATTAAAGCTGCAAACCAATAAATCTGACTTGAGTAAATCCATTGGGATATTTGAAAGGATATAATCTTAAATAGAGCTTGACTTATTGTAAATATCCTCAAAATTTTGATCTTGTTCCATCAAACTTCTCACGCATACTAATCCTTGTCCCTATCATACTTGTAGAAGCAAAACTCTCTAGATTTGGTTGTGAGGTCGATCTACTTGCTTCTTTCAACTATACAACTTTTTATCACAGACTCTAAACTTCTTCCATATGCATAGTACTTTGATGATTCATATTAGAAATATGTGAGATTTTTACTCTTGGAGTATTGACAAGCTCATGAAGATCTACAATAGTTACAAATCTATTCTTACTTTCACTGAAAATAGCATCCATAATCTTTCCTTACATAGACAACTCAAGTAAATTCAAAAATTTGAATTAGAATGGTTATTGCCAAAAACAAGGAGACTAGAAAGTCTTGAAATAAGACTAAGGACTAGAAAGTCATTGATAAGAGTGAAGAAGACATCATTCTTGTTTCTATATATACTCTTAACTAGGAACTCCTTAGAGATGTCCTGTAGAACTTCCAAAATGCGTTGACTTTACAAGACATGTATCTTAACCTATAAGGTAAGTTTTCTATATGTGCGCCACATAGTTAACTTGTTCCGCAAGCTACCAACACGTGGTTAATTTGTTGATCAAGTTTCTAACCTACCAATCAACTACAAACACATGTTAAGTCAAAGCATTGTTTATGAAGCTTCTAAGAAGTTTCTCTAGAATGTATTATGAAATTAATTTACTTTTATCTACTTTTACTTACTTCTATCTAATCATATAGGTATTTATTAGAATACCTATAAATATTTGTGACACTTAGTACATAAAAGATATACTTCTGATAATATAGATAAAGAAAATGGACTATTAAATCAAGCTTTGATAGTTAGTTATTGTTATTAGTAATTTGACCATCATTATATCAATTTCATTTTAAAAAAATCATTATTATATCAATTCAAATGAAAATCAAAATAATGATGATGCAAATGATGCCAACATTCTATGTGTTTTGTGATGATGATGTATTAATTTAGTAAAATCCTAGTTTATTTTTAAAAAATTCTAAATAAATAAATAAAAATAATAAGTCTTGTTTTCTTTTCTGTTATTGGTGCTTCAAACTTTGTTAATAAATCTGTAAATATTTGTTATGTCTGAAAAAAAAAGGTTATTGTTGGTATCAAGTATGTTAGATTCAAATTTCCAAATACAATGAATATGCTTCAGCAACCTCTAAGAAGCAAAATATATATAACTATATATATATATATATATATATACCAAGAATTATTAGATGCATATCCAAAAAGGAAAAAAAATCATAGATTAATATTGTAACCCATACCACAGGGGAGGAGCCACGTAGGAAGCCCCGTGTCACGACAGCCACAGCCCTTCCGCCACGTAGACTCGCCTGGCCCGCCATTCAATGTCTGGCAACCATATCCACACAGCTGACGTGGCACAGCAGAAGGGCCCATCTCCACCGCAGGAACGGTAGCCCGGATCACCGTGTCTCTTGGCGCAACGCGAGCGGACCTTTCTGCTCTGCTCGCCCCAGCGATTCAGCCCCGCCGCCGGATTTTGCAGCCAATTCGTTGCTATACCAGGGCGAGAATTATCCTCAAGCATTCGCGATTGTGAGAAATTAGAACTAGGAATCGGATTATGGGTTATGGAGAAGTGGGCGACGCTGGGGCAATGCAGGGAAAAGCAGCTTCGGTAGAGTGCAAGAAACAGCTGCAGGTTGGAATTGAGAGCGGCACGGGATTTACACTAGCTCTAGCGTAATTCGACTCTGCCTTCGCACACTTCTCGGCGCTCGTGGTCGGGTTACAATAGGGTTGAATTGTGCGTGTTTTTTTTGTAAGGGGCGAATTGAACCGTAATTGGGTAGTGTTGTAGAGTAGAGGGGAGACTCGGTTGCAGGGTGCGCAGGATGGGAGAACCGAAAGACACGCTCGATAAGCTCGTGGTCTTCCTGGCGAAGCGAGACGGGATTGACAAGGTGGTGAAGACACTTCAGTATGTGGGCAAATTGGCGCACTATGGGTTAGAGCGGAAAAACCCGGTCCTCGCCGCTCGGTACAAGAACCTTGAGGTCGCGGCCGGGCTGAGCCGTAAGGCGTTTCGAACGGGACGGTCGTTGGGTGCGTTCAACACGCTTCGCACCGCCTCACACCCCGATCTCACTATTCAACTGCTCACCATCTTTGGGTATGGAGGGGAGATGGTGTACTGGTTCTTCGACCACTTCACGTGGCTGTCCAAGGTGGGCGTGCTCGACCCCAGCGTTGGGGTCAGGACAGCGTACATCTCAGCGTTTGGTGAGAGCGTGTGGTACATTTTTTTCATCACCATGGACGTGATCGTTATCAAGCGGGGCTTGAAGACTGAGGTAGAGCTCAAAAAACAGTTGGCTAAGCTGGTGAAGTCTGAGGACCAAGCACGTGCCCCGTTGATGGAGGATTCAGCAACGGGGGAGCAGATCAAGAGCTTGAAGGCAAAACTTTCCTCCATCAGGTTGCAGAGGGTAATGGCGGTCAGTTCCATCATAGCCAAGACGGCGGACCTCTTCATTGCGCTTGCCGTTGTGGATCCTAACCCCTTCGTGTCGCACACCATCACGCTGGGTCTCAGCGGGCTGGCGTCTGCTTGGGCGGGATGGTATCAACTGTGGCCGGCGTCCAAGTAAGGCAGCCAATTTCACCAGTTCTGTCGAGGATTCAATTTCGTCTTGCTTCCGACTGCGAGAAATCGTTATCTGCTGGACAATTGGAGAGGCCTCAAGGAAAGCAGCTGTTACCGCCGTAGCAAAGCTGGGCGGTCCGTTCTTCTCTTCTTTGCCTTAGTTTAGTAAATCTTACTACATTTTTGATCGATGGATAGAGAATTTCTCAAGTGGAGAACTGGCCACCTCAACCGTTCCTAGGAAACCGGAAGCTAATAATTTCGATAAGAATATTAACAAGTTCATCTTCCATTTGTTTTGTTCATGGGTGGTGCGTAATTCAGTCCCTTGCATTCGAGTCCTTGTCCGCTTCTAACTGTGAACAGTATGCTTCTCATTTGGTATTCACCGGAGTATACCTTACAGCGTTGAAGTATTTCCGTCTCATCTTTGTCTTGGCCTGCAACCAGTCAATTAGGAAACATCGGATTGTGCATCCGGAACCACCGAGAACCTCACCTCGTGGCCCGGTCTCATTATGAGAAAATAATAGAAATGTGCAGTGTAGTGCTGTGTATTTTAAAATTGAAGTGCATGCCAAACCAAATTAAAAGTAATTTAATTGTCCGGGGTAGTGAGTTAGACTGTCAATTATCACGTGTGCACGCATCTACCTCGGAGCAATCCCCCACAGCTTCAGATTCCTGTAACCACCAGAGAACCACCGACTGTCTTGAAAATGCCTTCTTCGTATTCTATGGACATAGTATTTCTCATGGTCTGCAAACTCTCAGCAAACTTGTACGAAACTTTGTACGCCAACAACCTTGTTACGATACATGCACTCAACTTTGAGAAGCTCTTCACATCTTTCACTGTAGCCAGGTCAAGAAATGAGTCAATGGGCACAGCACTTGAAAGTACTGCATAGAAAGGATATGAAATTCATGATGAAGAATTACAACTGGGTTTTCAATATGCACAATAGGCAATATACAAATTTAAGACAACTATGTTTCCTCTATATCTCTACAGGCTTGAGATCAACGACATATTCGTTTTGGCAGTCTGCCGTAGGTCTTCAGGAGCTCGCTGCAGGGGAGTTCGCGCCCCAGCGGAGGTACAAAGGGATCCAACTCGGCTTCTCTGGTGTCTGATTCCATAGCGAGAATGCCGAAGATGCCGTCATCCAGTCTCCCACCAGCTCGGGATGGTGGCGACGCAGCACATCCTTGAGGCCCTCCGTGGTGTTCACCCACTTCAATCCCTCCTCGGTATACACTTTTTCGTTGAAGTGTGAAGTAAAAAGCGGATCCGCTTCCAAACGCCTGCACAGAGAAACACAAATTGGCCAGCGATTGGAACCAGTAGGTTAATATGGGTCAGCATCACTTCTATGGACTCATGAAATAAAATTTGAGCGTCGTGTACACCGTCACCTGGAGGCCATGAGAACAAAAATGACGAAGGCAGTCTCGCTGATGGCAAACCCTGGGGGTTTCTTCTCCACCAGCAGCCCTACTAGCAAATCAAGGCTCTCCACATTGTTGCCGTAAAGCTCGCGAAGAATTGCTAGCGTTTGCTTGTCTTCTGTCAAATCTTCCCACTTCCCAATGGTGGGCATCACCAAGTTCCTTCGGAACTGGTTGTAGCGAGCCACAGAGCGCTCCCGGTCTCGATAAACTGCAAGAGCAACGTTGCGAATGCACTTAACACTTGATAGCAATATTCTTATGCACAATTATATCACCGCAGACTGAATTATGCTGGATATTCTTACAATGATACACTTACTCTCAAGGCTGGCCATGTCCACCTTGTCCGGCCGGTCAGTACCGTCCCTGTTCTGAGAGGTCACTTCCCGCATCCATTGAGGGTAATTGAACAATTGTAAAGCTCCTGCGGATTGATGTCCTAGAGATGTGAGAAGCGTCTTCAACCCAAGTTTCAGTGCCTTGTCGTTCCCCTTGTTTCCAAGCAGCTCAGGCACAGCAATCCTGCCAATGTTTAAATGTCAAATCATTGAACTCCTTTCTCTTGTTTGGGAGCTTCTTGTCAATGGGTTAAATGTTCGATAAACTGGCCACGAAGGAACGGACTTACTCGTCTACGGTTGGTGGTGTGTGTAGGCTACTGCTCGCAGTTGCCGTAATGTTCTTAATGTCAATCTTCTCAGGCAGCAAAGGATGTAACCGGTACACTGCTGTAAACTCCTCTGTGAGTGAGTAGGGCACACCATGATCCACTGGTTTCTTCATGCCGACCAACCCACTCAAGAGCGAGATAGGAGTAGTGCCGAACGTATCCTTGAATCTCTTTCCCAACAATCCATACCTATGACAGACAGAGCCTCGTGCAGGAAGTGAGTAAAACATGATGGACGTGAGACAACATTCATAAGATTCGAATGTTCATGTGCACGTTGTGATCTCCGTTTCTAAAGATGATTGAGGGCACATTAGCTTACCAGTTGGCACGCATTGCTGCGAGCAAGACATTGTTCTTCAGCAGCTGCGGCGTCCAGTCAATAGTGTGGATCTTCGCGAGTACCGCAGCAGTCACAACCCTGGCGTGCTGGAAGAGCTCCTCGTCATTGAAGTCTGGATGCGCTTTCTGTTCAAAGCGGGAGACGTTTGGAGGAATTCGTTGGTAAGTCCCAGCACCGCGCAGCAAGTCTGCAGCATTAAACCTCAACTAGTCGTGGCTAACAAGGTGTGGAGGAGAAATTGCGCTTCATATGTGACTGACCTTGATTGTATCGCAGACCATGTTGTGCTCTGCAATAAACAGAGATTGGAGCATCGCCACTCCGACCCAGAGGTTGCGGATGTCGCCAGTGACCGGGAGGTTGTCCTCGTCGGTCATTAGCCAACCATCTGGTCGGACCTTGAGCTTGCCGTCTCGGAATGTTCGAACATTACGCTCGGCTTCTTTAGTGCTTCCGTAGATTACACTTGCGTCCCTGCTCGTCACAACATACACATAATTCTACTCAATTAGCTTGTCTTTCGGAAAGCAGAGCTTAGTGGCATTTTTATTTGGAAATTAAGCCTTCCTCCCAGAGGAACCGTACCACCAAGGTGTTCGAGTGTTGATGTGACCGGTCACGTTGTTGCCTGCAGGAACCTCCTTCGTAGGGTAAAACATGAAATTCTTCAAAGGACACTGCGCCGAAACAGAGGGTGGAGCCGTAATCTCGACTTCCTGAGCACCAGAACTGGCACTGTTAGATTCTGTTCAGTTCGAGTTTCAAGTTTGATCAGTGAGCACATGAGTTTCTAGCCATGGTTACTAATGATGAATTGCACCTTGCTCAATTCCTCTAGGTGATCAACCCAGTCGTGAATCATGAAGTTGATCCATGAAGCAGCTATCATGTTAAATTGTTTTCCGTAATCTTTCAATTCCGTCCTAGATAGCAACTTCGCGGCCACAACAGATGGATGGGGGTTGACCAGCTGCACACAACGACGAACAGAGATCAGTTTGCAGTTTGCTAACTCTAGTACTTACCGAATGCTATTACGCCCCTAGCAAGCTATACCATATTGATCAATTATAAGTGTCAGAGAGGTGCACCTCGCTCTTTTGAGGCCCCATGTTGCGCCCAAAGAAGCCAGCATAATCTTCCTCATCAAATGTGGTGTGGCTACTGCTTCCTGGTTGATCAATATAATTGACAACCGCCATTCGACTTGGAGTTGGAACCTGGAGATTGCGATCCTTCGCATTTCCGACAGCTATGAGGTTGTAGTTCTGCTGAATAGTTCGTCGAAGTTCCAGGTACAACAGACCGAACACAACAGGGGTGTTGTACCATCTCCAGAAGCGGTCGGAGAAGTGCACTACCTGTTGGGGGACGAGATGGTTCAGTTTTTTAGTCAGAGATTCTGGTGTCAGAGAATTGGCTGCAGACAATACTAGTAATCTACAATCGCTTGGCTGCAAAGGCCATGTGGAACGCATGCTGTGGTTTGATGCAGATTTATCACGAGCTTGTTAGTAGCGAATTTATCCAAGTGAGGCATCCTGAACGAAGATGCATAATGAAGCGCGAGAACATCGATGACAGCCCCTACACAGTCAAGCCCCAAGGAAACTACCCCATGAAAGTTCAACACCCATTCAGTCGACATAATCACCGTTAAAATGAGCAGAACCTTTTCAAACTTCTATGTCACTTTTCTGCGGTTCTGTTCTTGAAAAAGAGCAACAATTCGATGAGGTTCCGGATATTCAGCAAGTATACTTCCTTGTTGGCATCTACCTGGTGGAGTATCTTAAATTGCAATGGATGTGATTTGAAAGAATTACTACACTTGAAGTGTGTTCAACGTCGTATACAAGTATTTGGTTGTCGAACATTTACAGAGCCGGTCTCGAAACCTTGAATCCCGAAACTTATTATGATCTGCCAATCGACCGGTCCTCAATACCTAAAAGACATGGTACGTGAAGCATGATGTTCAAAACATGGGCATTTCGAACATAACGACACATTCCTTGGTGTGAACAATCCAATCACATACGAGGGGCATCGGCGAAGGTGGTGAGTGCTCACGAGAAACATGGTTTCGTGAACGAAGCTCATCTGTCTGTACGTGGGTCGAAGATCTGGGAGCACCATCCACGAAGTCAGAGCTCCGAAAACTTGTCCCATGTTGATCAAACCCTCTGAGACCAACTCAACCTGCAATCAATCACTGTCGATCCCCAGCAACTGACCCAACGTTACTCCACACTCGAGCTTGTCTACGCAAACGCATAAAGCACCAACGCTTCACCCACTTCGCCAGCAAATATGTCCAGTGACGTCGCAACCGAGGTGGCTTACGGTTTTATAAATACCCAATCCAGGTTACCCCTCACGACTCGCCCATGTCGATCTAGCAGATTCATGCACAAGGCACGACTTTTGCCAGAGAGAATGCTGTCAGACGGCGGCGAAAGACAAACAATGTGCACGTGATGAGCTACCGTTCAAGGGTAAATGGAGATCATGGGGTAGTTTTCATGGCACCGTTTTCTTCTCTGGTGGGTGCCCGTTAGTAGTCCCCTTGCAATGCGTCGTTGTATCGTCGCCGTGGCTCTTGCACCATGCCCTCCACGAAGGTGTGGAGACGGCTGCGGCGTCGTTGTTGTCAGAAGTCTTCAACGCCGCCACGTCAGATTCCATGTCAGCATTTTACTATTATAATACCAAGGAATGTGTCGTTATGTTCGAAATGCCCATTGTTAATAATAAACCAAAAATAGACTGTACCAAAAATAGAGCATGTCAAAATGTATTGTTTAGTTTGGTTTAAGTAGATGATGCTTTCAAATTTTAGGACTAATTTATTTCAAGAGATTATTGTAAATAGTTTTGGAACTTGTGCATCTTTATATTATTTAAACATATTTCAAGTTCTTTTTGTATGATATTTATGGTTTTATAAAAATAATGGAGTTGATATCTAAATATTACAAGTATTGACTATTAAAACTTGAATTGACATTGGTAGATACAGTTGTGGGATTTTGTAAAATGATCCATTTTCATTTAAGTAATGCTCTCTCCTGTGAGTAAATCCTTTTAAAACCAAACATGTAGAAAACTAAGTTACAATGGATTTAATTGGTTGATTTGTTGTCATCTTAAAGAAACTTGTACTTTATCTATTAAAAAAATTCAAAGTTATATCCAAATTGATTCAAATTATTAGCAAAAAACTCAATTAAAGTTTAAACAAGAGTTTAAATATGGTTTTTAAAGCAAAAATAAACAAATTGATTATCTAAGAATATAGTCTACAAAAAATAAGAATAATTTATTAATATTTATTAATTAACTTTGAATTTAATTTTTTATATAAATCTATATATTTTTAAGTTGTTGATCTAAAATACCTATAATAAATTATATATTTTAATTAAATATATTTGATTTCTATTTTTGGTACAATTTAGAGTAAAATTAAATATAATTTTGATAATATATTTAATAAATAAATAAATATAAATATTAAAAATACTTTGTATATTATAATATATACATATATATATATATATATATATATATATATACATGCATTTATAAATAAATAAACATATGTGCTATTATTTTATCCAACTATTTTTTTGAATAAAAACTTATGTCTTTTATTAAAAAAATTATAAAAATAAATCAATGCACCTATAAAAAAACAAAAATGTATTTCATAGGAATGATGTGAATGAAATAGTTTTTAGAAGAGGTTGCAAATGAAGATATTTAGAAAAAAAAGAGATGATAAAATAATTTTAAAAAACTCTAATTTAAGTCTTGTGGTCTTATTTTATATTTTTATAATATAAAATTAGATGTTCTTCATGAAGTCTTGGGATCTTAAATTTGAATTTATCTTATTAAAGTTATTAAATTAATAAAAATTATCTTAATCTTACAATTACCTAGACATTCTTGAAATAGAAGATCTTGTCTTAAACAACTTTGGCATAGATATCTTCAAGAAGATGCTTAAGCTTAGATTACACTACTTTTAGTTTGTAGCATTTAATTTGGTAATAAAAAAAATAATTTTTTAAATATGTTTTGAAAGGTGTTGTTAATGCTACTACAATTGATTCTTATTAGATATTTAATTTAGTTTATAATTAAAATCAATATATATATATATATATATATATATATAATTATTAACATTATTTTTCATTAGAATAAAAAGAAATTAGAGATACGTATTGAGTGGATAGCAAGTTGTATCAAGAACATGAATTACAAAGAATAAAAACTTCAATATATTCTTATGTCATTTCAAAAGAGTAGATATTTATTGAAAGATAGTATGATACTAATACTAGAATGGCTATTGCCAAAGATAAGAAGACTAGAGACTCTTAAAACAAGACTAAAAACAAGAAAGATGTTGACAAGAGTGAAGAACGCCTCATGCTTATCTCCATATATACTATCTAACTATGAGCTATATGGCAACGTTTTGTAAGTCATCCGACATGTGTTGAACTTGCAAGACACATATCTACCTTGCAAAATAAGTTTCCTACATGTGCGTCACCTAACCAACTTATACCACAAGTTTCCAACATATATAATACGTGGCTAACTTTTTTGTCTAATTTTTAATGTGCCAATCACCTACAAATACATATATAGTAAAATCCATATCCCTTAAGCTTCTAAAAAGTTTCTCTATAAGATATTATTAAATTTACTTACTTCTACTTACTTCTATCTAACTCTTTTAATCTAGAAATAAGTTCTACCTTGCATATAGATTTATGTTCTCTCTCCTTTCTAGGGCCAAGTTCCACAAAGAGCTATTATTTCATATTAAGAAAGTGGAAGATGCAACAAAATATATTTGCCACATACTTTGATAATTATTCTTTTGAAGGTAGTTGATAGGTCCCCTCAACTACCAATAGTATCTCATATCACAATAAAATTTGATATTCGATCATTATTGATGCCTTCATAAATTCCTTTTAATAAAATATTTGAAAGACCATTAGAGGTTGTTCCCACCTTCAATAATATTATTAGATATTGGGAGTCTCTTCAAAAATCATAATACCAAACGTATTGTATTTTGTCATCTATGTGAGGAAGAATATATCATTCTTGAGGGTCTTTATTTCTATTATGTTGTCTTGAAGACTATCACAATCTTAATGCTTCATTTGATAATTCATTAAATAATAATTCTTGTATTTGAATCTATTGGTTGTTGATTTTTCATCTCATAAGTGCAATAAATTTACAAAAATTACAAATAAAGATAAAAGGTATGATGCAATTGTTGTTTGTTTTTTGATAATGAATTGATAAACTCTTCATCTTAATTTTGATGGATGTTGCCAATAAAAAATCAATCTTCTTTATTCTTTTTGTAAATAAAAAATACAATCTACTATTAAAAATATAAAAGCATAAGAACTTGAGATCAAAAGATTGATAGTAAAATCCATAAAAATAAAAGACATTGGTTGTTATAATATAGGTAGTGGTTAGAAAAGTCTATTAGGATAATTATAAGGAATTTTTGATCTAGAACAAATATTATATAATTTTACAAAGTCTTTAATTGATTTCTATATTTGAAGCTATTAAAAATCTTTTGATATTAGCTTTATAGTCTTGTTATATCTAAAATTCCATATAATTGGAAAATTATTGTGAGCTTAAAGATCACATAGTTGTGTTTTATTTTCTAGGACATTTAAGTATCTTTTAAAATAAAAAAGATTATTCTTAAACCTCAAACTTAGAAATAACATAAAATTTTGAAGAAATATTTTTAGTATCATAAATAAGAAGATTTAAGGATATACCTCATTATACTTAGATAAAAAAAGATTGAATAAAAAACTAATATTAATTTCATAGCTTAAAGATGAAATTATTCTAACTTCAAAAGAATCATTTTTTATTAATAAAAAAAATTCAACTCCTACTTTTGGTATAAAATAAAAATGTTTAGAAATGACATTTAATAAACCTTGTTGTTTTCTTTATTGACAACTGATCTTGAATTCAAATATTAACAAAACCATACCCCAATAGATTTGGCAACAATTCAAAATATGTGAAGACATAAATACTTAAGATTCTTATGATTTATATCAACAATCACTAAACTAAAAGTGCCTTCTTGATAATGGTGTTATTCTTGAAATATATCTACAATTACAAGAAGTTCTATATTGTAGGTCTTGTAATTAGTCTTGGTTGCTAAAAAAATTCTTAAATAAAAAGCTATTATGTGAAGTATGTTATTTGCTCCTATTTGTGAGAATATGACATATAAAGCAATGTACAAAGATTTTTTTTTTATAAAAATGCCTTGAAAAATTTACACAAAATGAGATTGATATAGAAATAAAATCTATCTTTAAAGCTTTAAATATTGGTTCAACTTCTTTATTTCACTCAATTTTGTCTTTACAAGTAATATGTATAAGTCAAGGTTCAAATTAAAAAAAAAAAAAAAAAAAAATCATGATAAAAATCTAATAGTAATTAAAAAATCTCCAAAAAATATTATACATTTCTTATTATTCTTGAAATCTTTCAATTTATGATAGTTTAATCTCTTTTTAGAATCCATTACAAAGCCATCATTTGAAATGATGTATTATAAAAAATCAACTTGAGTTGTATAAAATACACAATTTTCTATCTTAGCATACAAACTTATATTTCTAAATTTTTATTACATATATTAAACATAAAATACATGTTCTTTTTTTGTTCTTAGAATAGACTAAAATATTATTTAAATAAAAAACAAAAAAATATATTTAAAAAATCTAAAACAAAATCATTTTTAAGATATTGAAAAGCAATTGGTACATTTATAAGTCCAAAAGATATGATATTATATTTAAAATGTTCATATTTGGTTCAAAATATAGTCTTCTATTTATCTCTTTCTTTAATATTTATTAAATTGTATGTTCCTTATAGATTTAATTTAGTATTGATCTTTCCTTGATTCAATTGATTAAAAAATTTTAATAACAAAAATAGAGGTAATCTATTTTTGATGGTGATTTTATTGAATCTTTGATAATCTACACACATCCACAATAATCTATATATATATATATATATATATATATGTATAAGAAATAGTAGCTCATGCTAGAGATTATGAATGGCATATAAAGTTTTTGATCAAGTTTTTATAAATATACTTCTTGAGTGTTATCAACTTATTTTTTCATAAGCTATAGATTAATTCAAATATTAATTTAGTTTCTTCTTGAAGATTAATTGAGCAATCATAAGGATAATATTCTAAAAATATATCCTTATTTGTTTCTAAAAAATATCTTGTTATTTTTATTATTGGCTTCAAATTTCACTTTAAGTCTTCTAAACATTAAAAATAAGTATATCATAAATTATATCATGTGATCTTTTTTTTTTGTAACTTACATGAAAGTTCTTACACCATTAATAA